CGGACGGTATAGTAGGGCGGGGGAGACTGGGGGGGGAAGACCAACATGTGTAGATGGCCAGTGAGAAGGATTTTTCCCTGGCTGCCTTTCCAATGACAGTGTCTGTGGGGTAGGACTAGAAACAGCATAAAAGCCTCTGTTTGGATGCATTCTGTACCTTTTCCAGCTTGTGCCCAACTTTGTTAGAGAGGAACGCTCAGACTGAGACATTGCAGCTTGGTAGCTCAATACTAGTTGAACTTGCCTGCTCCTTTTTCTTGTTACAAAGGAGTGGGTAGGATTTATCTTAGCTTAGCTTAGCTATTCTATTCAGTTATATTAGTATTACTATTCAATTCATTTCTTTGAATTTATATTTGCTCTTTTTTTTTTTGGAAACTTTGAAAAAAAGAAAGCTGTGTTACATCACTGTGCAGGAAGGCACAGATTGCTTGCACACACACAGTCACACAGATACACAGACACAGAAGGAGACAACATAGAGAAAAATCAGATATTCATAGGAGAAGAAGACAGACAGACAGACAGCACACAATTTTTAAATAACTCTTAACACTGAAGCAAACATTCAAAGAAGAGGCCAGTGCACACACGCAACAGAGAGAATAAAATGCACAATACAAAAGGATTTACACACACAGAGAGACCTTTTGCAGCACAGGAAAGATCAATATGAAGTGTGCTGGAAAGGCAGGTGCCAGGTCTTCTGACAGGGGAGGGAGAGGGGGTAGGGGAGAGCTAGAGCTGCAAGCTCCCCCACCCGCCAAACACAGCTGCATTCTCTTCCCAAGCAGCCCTGACATCGGTGCTGCCAGTGAAAGCCAGGAAGAGGGAGCAGTGTCTGCATCTGACGTCCTTGCACCTGCACCACCTCCCCTCAGTCCAGAAGTAGGCACCAGCAGTGGAATCACTGTCTCCTCCACCCCAATTTCAGCTCTCAGCGTGAGCCTCCCACTGCCAGAGGAGGAGCTGGAGCTGGAACCAGGGATGCTGAGCGCACTGGCTCAAGCAATTCTGGGGACTGAGGGGGAATCAGAGTTTGTGCTCCACACCCCTCAAGTTTCCCCTAGACCCAGATCTCCTCCAGAAAGCAGCACCTTGGAAGAGGCTGAGGTTGTGGAGGCAAGTGACTCAGCTGAGACAGCTCCTGCTGGTGTGCCTCAGTCTGCTGAGAAGGGGGTTAAGGCAGGATCCTCAGCATCAACCCAGAAGAAGGGGAGTAGTGTACTGTGGGAGCATTTTGAACTGGCAGATGATCCCAGGTTTGCCATCTGCCAGCACTGCCAAAGGTACATGAGCCATGGGAAGGACGTGAGACAATTCTCCACCATGGCCATGCTGCTGCATCTCAGGAGGCAGCACCCCCTCACCCTTCTTCCTGCTCAGCCTGGCACCAATGCGATTGTGCTGAAAGGGAAGTCCCCCGCTCGCTCCAAAGCCCCCTTCTCCCCAAAGCAGAGGCTGGCCACCCTGGAGCAGTGGGGGAAAGGTGGACAGAAAGGGGGGCGCATTCCCAAGGCGAGCAAGATCTCCCAGAGCATTGGGAAGATGCTTGCTCTGGATAGCCAGCCCTTCTCCCTAGTTGAGCGGCCAGGATTCAGGTGGTTTGTAGCACTTCTGGCCCCATTTTACAAAATGCCCATATGCACCACCTTTAGCAAGTGGTACCCTCCCTGTATGAAGCATGCAGGGAGTACTTGACAGAGGAGCTGTGCAAGGCAGGGCTGCAGGTAGCCTTGCACTTCACCTCCAACATCGGGAGCAGCTGGGGTGGCAATCATGCCTAACTCTCCCTCACAGGGCACTGATGCAATCAGTCAGGCCATCAGCGGGCTCTCCTCCAAGCCGAGGTGCTGGATGAGTCCCACACAGCAAGGGAGATCATGGGGGCCATGAACCACATGGCGCAGGGGTGGCTCATTGGGCAGGCAGAGCTTACCAGTGGGTTCATGGTCACTGACAATGGGGCCAATATGGTGAAGGCTGTTCATGATGCCAACTTTGTTGGCATCTGCTGTATGGCACA